GACTTGCTTTGATGGGACCCTGACGGGTCTTTAATAAAAATTATCTATCTATCTATCTACTAAGATAATTTCGGTATCAGTACCACTTCGTACTTACTGTCTGTGGCAGAAGCAGGTGAGCCGTAAGTTCAGAATTACCTTCTGCGTTTCGGGAAAATGTTATCCTGTCAAAATGCATCAGAAAACTTGGTAAAGCACAATTCGCTTATCAGCACAGTTCGACAGAAAATTGAACTAAATAGAGACCAGTTACAGCGTACGAAAACAAAAACTTGAAATTCTAACACGCAAAGTCTTCTAGAGCCTTCGGGGCCTACAAACGACGGGGTCGTTTTCGGATAAACTTTAAAAAATTTGAAGAGTAATTAAATATCGTTAAGCAAACAGGATCATTGTTCGCTAGTTGAGTTTCAAATACTCATCACACTTCATGATATCGGATTCAGAGGCATTTGACTTGGCCATCCAAATAAAAACCTATCCATGTTTGCAACCTGACGTTTATGGACTCGATAACAGCATTACCAACACAGGCATCTCGTTAGATTGAAAATCTGACGAGATGTCCTTCCTATCCGTGATTTACGCTCACCCTCTTTACGTCTGCAGCCAAGGACCTTTAAAGCGCACCAAAAACGTAACCAACACTGTATGTGTGACATACAAGGACGAGTCCTGCGCTGAATGCCCAAATATTCTGACTAAAGTTGAAAAACACGAAAACTAGCTTACGGATTGATGGATACATGGGCAGCAAAACAGTGGTGGCTTAAGAGAATTTACTGGTGCTAGGGTCGAAAAGCGAAACGTAAAATGCAAAACTGTAAGAGAACATTGTCTCACGAGCACTTCAAAACACGAATAGTTGTCCAGTAGGTCCAGGCGTGGATCCCGGTAACAGAAAATAACGATGAAGAAACCTATGCGAAAGGCAGCCCCGAATTATACGAAAGACGACCTAGGCGATTATACGGAAATATTACGTTTCGCAGTTAATGGCATCGCAGGAGCTGTCTCGCCTGCACCTCTACATGCGAATGATGGGAACTCGCTTGTACCAAAGATTGATATAACTAGGTCGCCCTATCAACCGTTTCTTTCATATTCTCTCCAATACCCAAGTACTATACACAGCACTTAGTTGTGTGCGGAGACAGTAACTCGTGTTTAGTGGAAATAAGAAAACGCCACAACGGGAGCCCGAAGCCAAGATGAACCACGGCAAACCCCTCGGAACAATGAGAAAATAAAAATTAGAATTCAAAAGGAGACTCCGTGAACTGTCATTATCTTGACGTAGAGAATTTCCCAGAAAGCCTAAATTAAATGTACGGGGACCGCAAACAATACCTAATTGTTTAGGACTTCTCTGAATAGATTTCATTCCAACCTGATGACTGTGTTTCCGAATAACTCGCTTCTTCTCGTGGCCTTCTAAAACAACTCTTCCAGCCAAACTGAGAAACAGAAATTATAGAAGCATTCGGATATGAATGCGACCGCGGCCTCTCAAATGATGTCGCAGAGCAAAGAGCAAATCATGTTAATCCTATTCAAAAAGCCAACCCCCGGAGCTGCTATAAACAAGCCATTCCCAACCGGATAACTCATCAGTGGAACAGCTAAAACACAGAGAATTTGTCCCGGAATAAGACTTTGGGCTGAAGGCTGACGAACACAGCCTGTCTATCAGCAGAGGAAGGTAAATCAAAAGAGTACGACGATTCAGTTAAACCAGACACGTATATCTAGGTAGACGGCAGCAACGCAGCTAACGCCGACACCCTTCTGGAACCAGCCGCTCAAAATGATAGCAAAAATAGGCCGGTTGCGTCCATTTTTTTGGCTGAGGAAGGCCAAGTTAATAAAACCCAGTCAAAAACCAAACCGGTTTGCGAAGACGACGCCCGAATGAAAGCGGTAAAGCCTATGATAGTGACAAATTCAACTGAAAATTTTACTGGCACAAACTTAGGTTGACTGTGAGAAAATATCTAAAGCCCTGTATGCAAATTTGAGAAGGTAAAAACCGCTTTCAGAACCGACCCCGGAAAATTGCGGGAACCGAAACCCGGTTGTTCGATAATATTAACGAAGACAAAATAACATTTTCTGGATAGCAAATATATCTCAGGAACAAAGGGCACCGTTGAGGTGGCGGCATAATTGAGTATGTGAAAGAAGTCCTGATGAAATCGGAAAAGACCAAGTCCTTGTGTCGCATGAAAGATATTTTGCAAGCATTAGGGCTACTGTGTTTCCGTCCCTTGATCTACTCACCTTCTACTGAAAACTTAGGACAAACCGAAACGCTGACACTCGTATGTTGGAGAAGCAGGCAAAATTCTCCCGTTGACTTAATATCTTGGTTATGAGCGACTTAAATGCACTAAGAGTTAACCGGAACACTGTTTAAGCGTCATACCTGGAATCGATTTTCGACTACCGCTTTCTTCGTCAAACATTGAATGCGCTCCTCACTCAACATATCATGCTTCCACCAAAAAACCTGAGAAGGAAATGGTTAGCAACATGGCATTGCATTTCGTAAAAAACGTCTGACATCATAGACGAGGTTATCTCCATGCCAACGCTCGGCCGAAGTCACCATATACTGCAATGTAACATTATTCGTTATTCTCCGTTTTGCATCTAACAAGGCGACTTCGGTCAGATGAGACAGATTTACCCGTTCTCGACTGAAACTCAATGTTCACGGGTGATGCAAACGAAGATTTGAAGTTGTTCGAGAATGCCCTTCTGCAGCTCACCAAAAACCACTGTCAACTGACGAATGTAAGACGGAACAAGCAGCTTGGGGGACAAAGTAACAACCTTAAGAAGGGACTCAGCAGAATGTATAAAGTCTGGCAAATACTGTGCCACTGGACAAGTTCAATATTTCAAAAATGATAACACGCAGATAAACAGAGTGAGAAGCTCGATCATGAAAACCCGTCGGTAATTTGGGGAGAATTGACTACAAGAAGCAGTATTGATGCCTAAATTACTCTACGGCTATCACAGAAAATTTCAAAGGAACGGGCTTCAGATCCCCTTAATAAAGACTACCAAGGGCGTTGAACCTGGTGAAGACTAGCAGAAGGCTGGGTATTTTTCCAATCGGTCTAGACAAACGAACCATTTCCCTATCTCCCTCTGCAGAAGACCTGCCGACTCCAAGCACGAGCAATGAACTCTTCCCCAAAGATCTTTTTCGTAGCGAATTAGAGGCATTGAACAGAGTCAAATCGCCTGATTTGAGGAGATTTCACCCAAGCTTCTCTAAGAACTCGCCTTTGGACTTTCTGCTTCGCTGTCGATGCTCATTCATAGCCCATTTGACACTGGAATACCCCCTGTTGATTGGAGGTCAACGAGTATAACTCTGACATACAAAGATGCTAGTCAGACATCGGCAGCACGTTACAGCCCATAAGTTTGGCATGAACTCTCGGCAAAGTTATGGAGAGGACCATAAGGAACGAATAAGTCAGTTCCTAAAAGTCCACAACCTGCTATCGAACTGCCAACATGGATTCCGGTAAAGACCACAATTCATGACAAGTTTGCTCTAATCACTCCAGAGCTGAACTCGGCACGCGGTTCACATCACTTTTATTGACTTGAACACACCCCTTCGACACTGTGCCATACTAGAGACTGTTATATAAGCTGAGGAGAATAGGAATCGGAGGTAACTTCCTCAAATGAATCGAAACTTACTTGCGTATCAGCAAGACGTTGTCTTTGTCGTCAAGATAAATCAGATCTTGTTGTGGTCGAGAATGATGCCCTCCAGGTTTCAGTACGACGACATATTTTGTCTCTACTATACCTGGACGAGTGTGAAAGGCATTTGGACTCAGAAGCAGCAGTATTTGCTGACGACAATAAGATTTGGAGTGCAGTCCGATGCCCTGCCGGCGAAGATGGACTATAGATGAGTCTAAATCGACTGGATGAGTGGCCAACTCGTTAGCTCAAAGGTTCTTCTTCGGTAAGTATCTCGTCCAGATGACCCAGTTAGATCCGCCAGCGCCAGAAGCTACTTTCTGAGCGGTGTAGCTCTACAAGACGCAAAAACCTCCAAAGGATTTCGGTATGTTAGCGAAAAATTCCTTAAAACCGTCCCCTCAGTGCTTAGGAAATGCACGAGGTGCAGTGTCCGTGTTCACGCCATCATATGGACTTAAATGGATTTCGAGGAATACCTCATCTCCAAGATCTCCAGAATATGAATGAGGTCGCATTTCGAACATTGTATATAAGCATGGAGTCCGTGGTCGTTCCGAGATCAAAAAGGTCTTGAAAGAGCTGAAAAGCAAACCGTAAAAACTGTTATGTGTCAAAGCTCCTTTCCACACACAAACCGCTTGGCAAACCTGAAGCTCTTCCCTTTGAGGTATAGGCAAATTCGCGAGGATCCCTTACGGGCATTCCTCATTGTGAAGGGATATGATTGCAGTTAGATCTTTGGGGACTCTGTACATTTTTTACGACGACCAACCTCCGAGTTCACGCACTAAAATGCGCGTTCAGCAGATAAGGCTAGAGCTGGGCAAGCTATCCTTTTCCGTTAGAATGTCCAAGACGTGGAATGCCCCCTCTTAGATATTGGGATGGCATCATTGATGGAAATTTTTAAAAGAAACATTGATAAGTTTCTGTTCCGGAACAAATCAATGCAATTACAGATTCACGTGCAAACTGTTATACTTTCAGGATTCCTTTTGAAATATTTCTGTCCACATGGTTTACCTGTACCCTGTACCAAGTTTCACGCTGTAAATAGGATACTCAGTCGCCATAGGTGGGTGCTTAGTACTAAATAGCGATCGAAATTTCCCACTTTTCTGTGTAGACCACTGGAAAATGTGCAGAAAACAGCGCGACAAGAAAGTCTTTGCCTGCCTTACACGACCTTAGTAAGCTTGTTTGAATGTGTACGGGAAGCCACCTAAAGCACGTTCTGCGCCTTTTGCGCTTGCTTCGGTGTAATGGATCGGTCGCGTCTGTACAAAAATAAGAGTAAAGACAACGAAGTACGCTTAATCATCTTTTACTCTTCTCATTTTACAGGAGTTACGAAGACGGAGGATTGATCAGTCCGTAGAATTACGGAAAGCCAAAAAAGATGAACAACTGCAAAAGAGGCGTAACGTTTTGGAAGGTGTTGACGAAACATCTCCCCTGAAAGAAAAGCAGGTATGATGGTAGTTTGCTCTCACGAAGTAGACCCCCGGCACGGAAGTAATTAATTACGATAAAATCATATCAGAGATGGGGAGCAGAAATCAGGAAGTCCAACTCCAAGCTATCCAGACCTGCCGTAAAACGTTGTCACGCGCAAAGAATCCGCCGATCGACGAGTTCTTTGGCCGTGGTGTTGTCAGTCTGCTCACAGCGGCCCTTGATGCAAAATCGTTAGTCAAGTCCTTTTTTAACGACTGCCGTCTTCAGTGACTCAATTGTTTTCGAGGCTGCTTGGGCCCTAACCAACATTGCCTCGGGGGAGTCGCACCATACACAGGGTGTCGTCGACAGTGGAGCCTCTCCAAAGCTGATAAACCTTCTGTCTCATAAGGACATACGGATAGCTGAACAGTGCATCTGGGCCCTTGGGAACATCGCCGGCGATGGTACCTCTCAAAGAGACATGCTCATTCGCATGGGCGTTGTGGAGCCCACTTTGCGGTGGGTTGCAATTTCCCTTTGTCTTGATCTGAACCTTCTTATGTACTTACCTACTAAGTCAACCTGTCAGGTTTGTGCTTGCTACTTTTACCTGCCGGCGTTATGCCTACCTGAACTGGCCAGGGACTGCACAAGCGCACTGTCGAATTGATTTCCTTTTGCATGGTCACCATCACAATCTATAGCACTAACAGCTTATAATTCGATACAGCCGTGTCTGACAGTTGCTGGTCCTCATTTTACAGTGTGCAGTTGAGTTCGACGTAATGATTAAGTTCTAGAAACTGATGAAATACGTTTTGAGGCGAAGCCTTGAGGTCGGTGCTCACAAGCACCGAACTAAGCTGAAAATTACTATAATAGCCCTGAGTTTTTCGCGTAAATCTACTTTCCCATTAATGACCCCAAGTTATTACCCTTTGGGAAACCAACTGTGATGAAGCGGTATACTTATACGATCTGTAAAACCTTCCATTCCAATAGTACCTTCGCACAATTAGTGTTCCCGTCTTTATCTCCTAGACAGCACATTTTGGACGTATGTCGGTACGCTCAGACGGTGGAAAAGTCGAATGTTTGTAGACTTAGTGCTTATATTGGAGTTCTGCAGTAATCAGATAAACCCACCAAGGCCTGAAGCAAAGGCGTGAGCGATTTTCTCTTTCCTGCTGTACCGCAATAGCGATTTCGGATTTTAATCCCACTAATGCACTTAGGATAGACATACTACTGTAGACTTTGATTTACCGATGAAACACGTTGTGGAGTAACTGCCATGGTTTCCTGCCCTTGCAATTTGTGTCTACTACATGCCTGCGTTATGCCTTGGTGCATACACGTGAAATACCGCGCTATTATAGCCTTATGAAAAGTGGCCACTGCGACCCGCTCTAGAAGTTCTAGGACTTGGCTTCCCCATGATTTTCTATATCATGTCCGAAGCCTTTCGCGGTTATTTCGCTATGATATCAGCTGCGGACTTGTCAGTAAGTTTTGAGAACGTGCCGAGCAGGCTTGCCGCCACGTATTTTTGTCGTTCTTCACCTGCCGCTTCTGTGGCTGGGCTCACGACAAGCGTATAATCGATTTCTTCATACCACTTTAGAGACGCTTAGCTACTTTCGGAACTAGCTTGTAATTTATAACTGGCCTTTATAAGGTCAGCAGTCTTTCGAAGGCGTCTGTTCAGACCACGATTTGCAGGGCAAATTCCAGCGTATCTTACCAGAAGTTCTGAACCCTTGGCATCCTGTGGAGGTTTTCACGTTACCCTGCAGACCATCCATCCGTTTAGGTTCTGGGGACTGCTACTCGGCATTCCACCCTTTCTCGATCCGGTTCAGCGAGTTTTATAAAGTAGGCTGTAACCAGTTGATTTTAACGGACACTTGGTACACTAAGTGCTGTAGTGCTAAGGGCAGTAGTGTTCCCCCACTTCCATAGGTGTCTTGGCAAAAGGAACATCAAGTCTAAATACAACAGGTCGATTGTCACAGACAAAGAAGTCTGCCATGTGTCCCACATACTTGGGTGTGGATTAGTTTGGCGTGGGACGGGATTACGTAGCATCCACCACACACTTTCTTTACACCTCCGGTGGCAAGGTAAAGTCAGGACGACAGAAGGCGTTCGCAGGCGTGGTAGATAACAAAGCTGAAGGGCTCGTTTATGCGTGGTTCACACGGCCCGGCCTCGCAATGCGTGTCAGACTTGCGGGGGCGGCTGGGATCTCATCAGAGTGCCATAAACACCTCGTGAGAAAGGAGCTATTGCATCAGGATTCACAGTCATGAGAAGGACCGAGTTGTTCCGTTATTTGGCAACTGCCCAAGCCACGATTCGACGCATCGTGGTGAATCCAGATGCGTACGACTTATTATAGTTCAGAACACACAGAGATGTACTATGAGGACGGATTTCCATGTGTCGGCCTCACCCCTATTCCATGCATCAGTCCATTGTCCCAGCTGGTCAACCAGCGAGTTAGAGAGCTTTGACGAGGTGGCCGACGTAGCGTAAAGGCGTACGCCAAGGGCGTGCCACACGCCTATAGGGTAGTAATTATGGACTAGCGTGGACTCGGCGCAGCCCGAGAGACGCGGGTCACGAGCCAGTATGGACCCCGTTCTGACCCTGCGCATCTTCAGCACAGCCCATTGTGAGAACCATACGTACTCATCGTAGGCTGTCGAAGTTATTGGTATGGCTGTCAAATTGCTGGTTATTCTCTCACACTTATTTTTGTTTTCACAGCCTCCTCGACCGGGCGTGGGGCAGCCCCGGTGTTGTTGCAAACATAGCGTGGATGCTATCCAACTTATGTCGCAATAAAAACCCACACCCTCCTCGCGAAACTATACAAAGGCTTCTTCCGGTTCTAAACAAATTGCTGGGATACTCCCAAAGCGTTGATGTCGTTATTGATGCTGCATGGGCATTATCCTATGCGAGTGACTCTGCAAATGATTTTATCAATGACATTCTCGCTAGCAACTGCGTTCCACCTCTAATTAAGTTGCTGGGGTCTGGTACGGTAAGTCTGAAAGCGTTTCGATAATCACAAGTAATCCTTTGCCAGTTTGCATTTTTAGTTTGGGTATGTTTCTACGTAAGCCTTCGGGCTCATGTGGCTTTCCAGTTTTCTTCGGACTTAGCCCTCATGTAGTAGTTTACAGTTTCAAGTTCAGTTTATTTTGTGATCAGTAGTTTAGCATTGGTAGTTCAATCTTGACAATTTGCCTCCAGAGTTCATTTCTATCGTACTGGATTCGAGTGCGGTGATATTTTAAAATTTTCCAGACCAATCGCGTTCTTTTTCCGGAGGAGTCTGCTCATAATTGTTGAGTTTTCATCCATCTTTGTCGCAAAATGTTTGCCATTACTTGTCTCTATTATCATCGACACTATTTAATATTGAACAGCCCGGCTTGATATCACCGGCTCTACGTGCAATCGGAAATCTGGTTTTGGGTGACGATGACCAGACCCAAGCAATCGTTGATGCGGGAGTTCTGGCATACATGCCTAATCTTCTCAATTCAGACAGATCGAGCATCATTAAAGAGTCCTGCTGGATGTTAAGTAACATCACTGCGGGTAACATTCCTCAAATACAGTCAGTGATCGACGCAAAAATTGTCCCACGTGTTTTAGAACTTATGCTCAAGGTAAGGCCCTTGTTCTACATTTAATTTCCAAACCGGTGGTCTGCTTGTTAGCCGAATACCTAAACTTTTTTTCCTTTAGGAAGAGTTCAAGATCCAAAAAGAGGCCTGTTGGGTCATAAGTAATATGATTAACGGCGGCTCTCCTGAGCAACGGGCATACCTCTTAAACCAAAATGTGTTGGCCGCTTTAAGCAAGCTCCTGACGGTTGCTGATGTTCGTGTCCTTGTCCTGGTGCTTGAGGCTGTCCGGCGGTTGTTTGAGGTAAGTCTTCGCACACTTTTATCAAATGAAATTATAATCTAGAATGAGTGCCTTTCTGGTATTGTATAATGTTCCGGTAGTTCGTTCCCTGTACACATCTCAACCTCTACTGCTTATCTAGTCCCCCAAAGTAGAAAGTTTCACAAGCAATCTAGTTACTATGACTTCATTTCAAGCCCTGCTTTACTATTGGTTTGGACTGTTACAGGAATAACTCGATTTTTTTCTCCTGTAACAGACAGCAAACGAGTTTGGGCAACTCGAGCAGTGCTGCCTGTCCCTGGAGGCCTGTGGTGGTTTGGACTCTCTTGAACAACTCCAAGACCACAGCAACGAACAGGTTTACCAGGCGGCCTACGACATGATCGTGACCTTCTTCAACGACGCAGTAAGTATATTCATTGAAAGGTTTCATTGGGACATCTTCCTATGTACCCAGTAAAGACTGTTTAAATATTGAAGTGAATTTATGTACCAATCTTCAGACTAGAACTAGGTGATGAGTACGACCCCGCTTCCGCGTTGTATATTTCGCTTTCTGACTCTTCAAAACCACTCAGCACAGCTTGATCCATCATTTGCGGACATCGGTCTGCCGTTTAATGGCTTTTGTTTAAAGAAAAACCAATCATACTGACATTTCTGGTTTTCAGGGCAACTCCACTACAGAAGCGCCCGAAGGCGAGGAGCCAAATGCCCCAAACGACTCTCAGGAGTTTCATTTTGTTCCGCAGCCTACACAGACCGGCTCTACAGATTTCGAGTTTTAATTATGCCTCTTATCGCTTTCACAAAGACCTACGTGCATTTAGATGTCCGAGTTGACCGATGTTTTCTACTTAAAATATATACCCTTGGGAATCCACGACTATCCTTTGTTTTGAGGAGTACATATTGTAGTGAGGAGCACCGGCAAATAAAAGGGAGACTGAGATGGTTGTTTCACGACTTATTAGACGTCGCCAGTCAGCCATACCGGACTCCAAATTTTGATAGCGCGGGACGAGCACGTCCAGCAACCTGCTCGGTGGACACCCTCCCACTACTGCACGTTTGGTCCCGTTCCGCGCATACCCATGGCGCATCTACTGCTTCGATGGGACTTCCTCGTCTAGCTAAAGGCCCAAACCTCGCCAGCAGGGACGGTCCAGTGGGAGTGGGAGGCGAGGGGGCCGTGCACCGTTCATTTGATCTGGGTGAAGGCGGTGCATACGGACCGGCAGCCAGCGACCCAAGTCATGTATGATTAGCCACCAGGTCGTGCCACAACCTCCGTACTTGTATTGTGCCGGTCGAGAAAATGCGCCTCCACTACTGCCATTCCACAAAGCGCATTCACGAGGAGCCCTCTGACCGGTTACTGACATGAGTTGCCACGAGGGCGAGTACTTCCTGACTTGTACAATAGATGGAACGGGTCCATCTAGCTTCCTAACACAAGACTTGACGAAAAAGACCATGAACCGGTGCGACCTGTTCTGCTGTTTGAGTGAGGCTTTTTAGACATAGAAGTCAAACTAGATGTCCCTGAAGACGGCGAGGCTCATCTGCCTCGAGCATACCCCTGGTCGTAAACGCGAAAGGTGCACAGATGGCGTCAGTTTTTCACGTCGACCCCGATCTCCACACTACGTCGGGGACACAACACTTGCAACCTTTGGTGTAAGAGCGGTGCATTGTCTTCAGATAGATGATACAAGTCGTCCGGCCTACCTTGAGATCGTGATATTCAGTGGGTCTGCGTGGCTGGAGAACGGGACGTCTGCGAAATCGGTCACTTCCCAAGACTACAGCAGACGCAAACCCATCAGACGGGTTTAAAGGCCGCAAGTCCCCAAGTATTGCTCAGAGACATCGGACTACGCCCTAGCAAATGCACGAGAACATCTAGCTACAATCACCACTAGCCTACGAATACCCGGAATGACAACCGGTGTTGGTGGAATGTATCGTGGCTTTTACTTCAAGACCGATATTCGGGTGTGGAACTTCACAGCAGATCCAGCAGGCCCTCTGGCGGAACAGTTGTACGCAAGCTGGTTCTGTTGAGTATCCAGTTGGCCGGGAGGGGAGCTTTTTTATGAATTGCCTTCGAAACCCGCAACAAAGATAAATATCGGGGGCCGAGCTTACAGCCACAGAACAAGGGCCGGATTGGGTTGTGGGACTACAAACTTCAGATCAAGTCAAAAGTAAGTCCGTGTCAGCCGACAAACAACGGTCCTAAGGACGCAGGCGGTCAGTCACCTGTAAGCCCCGGAGCGGTAAGAGAAGAACTGGGAAAGAGCGCCCCTTACAAGGGACCAAAGAGAAGAAGTCTGGTGAGATGCTGCTGTGCAACTTTCCCGGCGGACAGAGTAGTGTAGCTAAAGTTTGCCTGGTATGTGGGGCTTTTAAAATACAGACGACGTGCGTGCTGCGATCGTATTATGACGCAGGCCTTGGCAAAATACGGATAAGAACGGGTCCTACAGGCGACTTAGTTTCCCAAGGACCCGAGACGGTCGCTCAATCTGCATGCAGTTATGTATGGACCTAGTGGAGCTCAAATGCATCCTAACTTCTGGTAGTGAATTAAGACGTAAACGCCGTACTGAGACAACCTCACCGCGCGAAACCCATGACAGCCATAAGTGTGTGTTTCCTTAGACAATCTTGCGGCGATAAGATGATAGCATCACGGGTCGACCAGTTAGTCTATCCATGAGTGGTCGGAGGGGCGGTCTCTGTCGAAGGTCCAGTACGAGATAAACTGCCTCCTGGTCTGACAAATAAGCTGACGTGGACCAATATGGACAGTACGATCATGATACGGAACGTTGAGGTTTGGCGTGTCTGCTGTCTTAAAAATATCACGAAGGCCGGTGACGGCACTGTGACATGGCGACCACAAAGCGGCCCTTCTTTAAGTCCGCTTACACCCGTATCCTCACAGTTCAGAACTTTTGCGAAAATACGGAGGGCGACCTCTATTTGAGCAACTGGCGGGAGCATGCCCGCACTGAAAATTCCCAAAGGGACTATAAGTAATACGATATTTGAAGTAGTATGCAAGGGGACCGACGTCCCCCCCCACAATCCTGGTCCAGTGGCAAAGGCCACAAGCCCAAACCCTTGGTATTGATTGACCGCATGTGCGAACATTCCTTGGCTCTGGCACAAACACTCGGTGCGCGGCCCTCATCACTACGACGTGGACGGTTGGTGCCCATCTGAAGTCCGAATTCCGAACTAGGGGGCCAGAAACAGCAGCCGACATAACAGGCGAGCCATACACTGCCGACGTCCGAACCAATTAGTGGCCGACTAATTTATTCACAACTGAAAGGGCGTCTTGCTAACCTCGACCGTTCCCATATAGGCATCAATATCGACTGCGAAGCAGCACGAAAAAAAACCAATATGCAGCAAAAGAACCGGCCTAAGGAATTCCTCGAAGTACTTAGCTGAGGGTTACGGGGACTGCAGTCTTCCGACTGGACCAGGCGAATCTTCTTAGGAACGCCACCTAGTCGGATGCTTCTAACTTGGAGCTGAATGTGACATTAGCGAGAGTCTGCTGATCTTTATTGTTCAGGGCTGGCCGGTTGTCATCAACAGGTGCCCCCAGCACCGCCACACACGTCTAATAACATGATACTTGAACGATGGTTGTACGGTCAGCCAGATTGCATCCTAGTCAACACAAGGCATTGTAGTTACCTGCATTATGGCAAATCAGTCTGTGGTGGCAAAACCACCAGCAAGTGTGGGTCGGACCATGTTCTTGTTTGCACACGCCTGACAGTTCAATCCCTCAATTCACACCCATAATACCTCGTGCAAGACACCTTGGTGCAATAAAGTTACGACAACCTAACACGGCTGAGGCTCTGCATAGATGAATACTGTCTCGCTTTCGTAAACTGAGTCACTTAACTCCTCCATCCGCCAGGCAATTGAGAGTTCTCAGACTGCACGCGTAAAACAGTGAGTCGTGCGTCTGACCAGCTACTGCGCCCAGTCCTTTAAAGATGTCTTGACTAAGCTCCACAAAATGAAAGAACGCTGATAGCGTGACAGTGTGACCAATGATACTCAAGGTTTCCTACCTAAAATGCCGTTTATAAGTAATTCTTTATCAAGTAGATAATTATGTGATGACAGACCCTGATTGGTTTCGTGACATGAACCTACACGAGCATTGTCCCAATAAAAAAAACGATGGCCGTAAAAAGAGCAAGAGTCCGCGTTTGATAATAAAAATACAATGCTCAGTATGACTGTTGCTTCTTCATATTCCATAAGAAATGTTTGCCTGTTTTACGTATGTCATCTTTTACAAGTCTCCGCGCGGATATCCAAGATATCTTAACACTTTTCGGATCAGACACGGTAAACCATTCGTCGCCAAAATTGGTATAAGAGAAAAACAAGGGCGACTCCGGCGCCTCCTGATGCGATTCAGTCAGTTCGTTCGACTCGTCATCTAATTTCTGCCAGTCTTGAGCTTGCTTCTCGATGGCGAAGTCGAACTTAAAATCCGTGGTGGAACTAAAAATAGGCGAATGTGGGATATAAGAATGTACTCGACATTTTCCATGTTATTGGAGGCACGAAAATCCACGTGACTAGCTTCTGGAACGATCGGCAGACTGAGGCGACCTACAAGGACTGGAGTAAAGGGGAGCCAAAGATACCAGTACACACCCGTGTGCCTTGAAATAAGAAATAGTAAGACTTACATAGTAGGAGGATATAATAACCAAAGGGCGTAACTATCAAATATGAGAAGTTAGGATGAAAGAAGTGACTAATGACGCTATTCTAATATGAAATCGAAGGCAATGGGGAAAACGAAGTTGGTCAGAGATGAAGGAATTACACAAAGAGGTGAATGTAGGTTTTTTTGCAAAGGTTGAGAGCCCAGAAGTGGATCTCGGAAGGAGGTGGGACTAGGCAGCACAAGGACTAGCGGGCGGAGTTGTGTGTAAAAGGCGAGTCTTCTCGGCCTGAAACTCCTTCGAAATTGGGTTCTGAAGATACTGCATCTTCTGGACTAGTTTTCACTGTAGAGCCTTCCTTTAATACTGAATCAATTGTCTTGGTGTCACCGCTCACGCTGTATGCACAATAATCCAAGCAAGACCGGTGTATGTATAAGTGAAGAAGAGGTTTCGAGCATCGGAACATTTTTGTTTATTGTCCTGAGCTTTCGGACTCGTGGGGGAGTCCATTGTCAGAGAAAGTAGCAGCAACAGAACAAGCGACAGTTATCCGGCATTTAGGCCAATCATCGACCGACGGCGCAAGACTGGAGGTGACTGCGCAGGGCTCTATACGCCGGCGCCAGATTGACTGACCGAGTTCTTATCCGAGGCCCAAGCTTCAATCAATTCTCGGCCTGTTTTGTTTCCGGCGTGGCCGACTATTTTGGTGGCTCCGAAGTTAAGCTAGTGATATGGCGTGATATGCCATACATCAAGGGCGTTTCAGAAGCGAGCGAGCGCATTGCTGCGGAGCTAGGTGTTGGAATTGCACACCGCCCCAAAGCACCATGCCAGTCAGTCAGTCAGTGTATTTGAGGGAAATAGGCTTACGCCTTTGAACTCCCTATTTGTACATAAAAAATCGATAAAAAAGCAAAAATGTGAAGAAATTACAGCATTAAGTGAATGCATACATTGATTCACATATGTCACTAGTCACATGGTTAAAAAGTCACATAGCCCGCTTGTTGCTGCAGCATATATCTGTCAAGGCGACATTTAAATGTCTCCACAGATTGAGACATAACAACCGTCTCGGGCAGGTTATTCCACGGTTCCACGACACGGTTGGAGAAGAAATATTTTCTCACATTCAGTCTACCCTGTGGCACACGTAGCTTGAAGGGATGTTCCCGGAGGTGAGTTGTGGTGGCGAGTTGGAAAAAGTCATCGCACCGAAGGGCACAATCCAAGCCGCGCACGATACGGAAAGTTTGTATCATGTCTCCGCGCAACTGCCTATAACTCAGAGGATAGAGATTAAGGTTAGTTAAGCGGATCTCGTATGGCAGTGCACTTTGACCTCTTACTAATTTTGTGGCTCGCCTCTGCACCCTTTCGAGCATATCGTAATCCTGGTGCGTCCACGGTCTCCAGGCCTGAATTGCATATTCGAGATGGGGCCTTATAAACGTGCCGAAGACTTTGGTGAAGCAGTCTTCATCGAAAACTACGAATGCCCGCTTGATGGCATATAGCATTGAAGTTGCGGCCTTGGCCGCCTTACAGCATTGTGTAGAAGGCTTTAGGCTGTCTGCAACCCAAACTCCGAGATCTTTCTGAGTTTCTGCTTCTCGGAGTGGCATTCCGTTCAGATGGTATTGCCGCGTACTAGGGCTCTGATTTCCGAGGCGCAGAATGGTGCATTTGTTCAAATTGAAGGACAAGAGCCATCTGCGGGACCACTCGTCCAACCGACAAAGATTTTCTTGGAAGTTGGTCTCATCGGCAGCATTCTGGATGACTTTCCAGATTTTTATGTCATCCGCAAACATGGCACAATCACAGTCCAACCCATCTACGCAATCATTGATGAACAAGAGAAAGAGAGTTGGTCCGAGCACCGAGCCTTGTGGGACCCCACTCTCTATGAATGTGCACCTTGATTGCTGTTGTTCTACGCAGACAATTTGGGAGCGGCCGACAAGGAAATTTTCGATCCATTTGAGAAGTTTGCCACCGATGCCCATAATTCTCAACTTGTGTAGGAGACGCTGGTGCGGAACACTGTCAAACGCCTTCCGAAAATCAATATAGGCAACATGCACGGTGTGTTTTGCGTCCAGTGCTCGTGTCCAACTTTGCATTGTGTATAGCAAGTTCGTAACACATGATCTTCCCCTACGGAAACCATATTGTGTATTGGACAAGAGGTTGTGGGTTTCCAAGTAAGCCATCAACTCCTTTTTGATTGTTTTCTCCATCACTTTGCAGCAGATTGATGTCAGACTGACGGGTCTGTAGTTTGTCGCCTGAGCACGACTACCGCTTTTGTAAAGGGGTGTAATGTGGGCCGTCTTCCAATCTGTGGGAAGAATTCCAGCGTCAAACGATTTTTGGCACAGAAAGGATAGTGGCTTGGCCAGCTGTTGGGCAAGCTCATAGAGCAGCTTTGCTGGAATCTCGTCCGGACCGGGAGATTTACATTCCTTCAAGCTTTTCAGTTCTTCCAAAATCGCTTCTTCTCGAAACACAATATTTTCGATAGTGGGATCTCTCATGTTCTCAGAATTAGATGGGGTAAAGTCCGCTTCTCTGGTGAAAACGGACCGGAAAAATTGAGAAAAGTGCTCAGCCTTATTTGTACTGTCCGATATCTCCAAGCCGTCATCACCCCTCATAACAGGAATGGGATTCCTGTTACGTGTGCTTTTCCGCAAATAGCTGCAAAGCAATTTCGGATTTTTAACGGCTCGGTGGAGCAAATTACTCTCAAAATCCCGTCGCCTCCTGAAAATCAGGCTTTTCACCTTATTTCTTTGAATTTTGTATTCTGTAAACGCTGCATTATTGTTGTTCTCGCGAAATTTTTTCCATAATCTACCTTTCTTGTTGATCTCCCTTTTGAGTTCTCGTGTAAGCCACTGAGGGCGGTTGGATGTCCTAGGATTTGATAAGGGACAGTGGTTCTTCATTAGATGCAGTAAACGATCCTTGAATAAATTCCAGTCCTCGTTAACGTTTCCGGAGAAGAGAACATCCCAGTCTATTTGTGATGCCTCAGCTCTCATTTGGCGAAAGTCCCCTTTCCATATATTTGGCCTCGTATTGTCTTTTGTACACGGTTCAGAATACAGCAAGTACTCGCATAAAAGCACTGCATGATCACTTCGACCGAGCGGGGGTAGGTAGTACACCTCGTCTATACTGTCAGGATCTTTGGTAAAAACGAGGTCCAGACAACTGGCCTGTTGCCCTCCACGAGCTCTAGTTGGAAACAGGACATGTTGCGTGAGTAGAGCTTCAAGAGTTGTCTTTAGTAGATGGTAATCGAAGGTATTCATCGAGCATTTCGCATGCATATCGCTCCATTGAATGCATGGTGCATTAAAATCCCCCATGATAACAACGTCTGGTCGGCTGGCGATCTCTTTTATGCTTTTCAGTAGACAAGTATCTGGGTCGGGATCCGCCTGCGGGGGCCGGTAGGCAGTTAAGACTTCGAGGGACTGAGATCCCCGCGCCTTTATAGTCAGCCAAATTGCCTCTGTGTCGTTAGAAATCTTGTCGGTCCTCTCACACACTGCTAAGTTGCTCTTGATATACATGGCAACTCCTCCACCCCGGCGGCCTCTCCTGTATATAAGGGTCATGGAAATAAAAGACTGGTTAAAGCCTGAAGAGCAATCTGGAGTGGTGCACCGCATCCCGTGTCAAAACTGTCCTTGTAACTAGACAGGCCAGACAGAACGCATGCTCGGATCGCGCACACACGAGCATAAGCTGGCTGTGCGACAAGGCGACGCATTATCACAAGTGGTGGCCCACACCTACGAAAAGGGTCACGAATTTAACTTCGTAGCCATCAAAATATTCGTCCACGCCGGAAACAAGACAGGCCGAGAACTGATTGAAGCCTGGGCCTCGGATGAGAACTCGGTCGATCGATTTATCGACCTGGCGCCAGTGTGTAGAGTCCTGTGCAATCATCTCCAGTCTTGCGCCGCCGGTCGATTATTGGCCTAAACGCCCGATAACTGTCGCTTGTTCTGTTGCTGCTACTATCTTTGACTATGGACTCCTGCACGAGTCCGGTGCTCGAAACCTCTTCTCCTTCACTTATGAATACACCTGGAACTCGAAATTTCGCCTTCACCAGTGTATGTAATAAAAGATATTGTTAGAGTGACGCTGTACTACAAGACGCAAGAAAGGGGATGGGGAGTCGATCGTAATCAGCAACGGTAACCAAAGTGAGAAAATATTAAATAGTTCACAGTTGTGAATCGGCAGGCAATATGTTCGCGGGTTTCCCTTTCTCCGTTGTACTTGGCTCAGCGTCATTGCCTGTAAAAGAAGGAGGAGCCCGTTCAGTATCAACAACTTTTTCTAACTCCCGCCTTCCTCCGTTTTCTGAAGCAAAAACAATCCCGCCCGTCGTCACAATCCCCCCCATCCCCCAGGTGGTGCCCTGTCCGCAGAGTTCCTCGATGAAACGATTTTTAATAGAAGCGAAGAGACGAGTCCCAGGAAGCAGTCTTGAAGAAGAAGACACGATCGCCGGGACAAGAGCTTTACTAGCCTGACGTTTCGGATTCCTGCTCGAATCCATCATCAGAGACAAAAGTAGATAAGCCTAGTTCATGCATATTCGGTAGCAGTATTTATAGGATGCAGTTGCCATGCTACCGCATGCCTATGAATATTCACGGCTCCCACCTCCATCAGGGATCGTTGCACGTGGCGTGATGACCGACATTCACGTCATTAATTGCTGCAATTTCATCACGTGCGTTGGATGTTGGCGTGATGATTGCTCGACCATCTGATGCGCTGACCCGGGTGTTGGGAAGAGTGTTCACCTGTGCGCTCCCCGCGTGGCCAAGTACTCCGCCTAGGCGAAGTCTCAGTACGGAGTATTGAATGGGAAGATCATTGCACCGAAGGGGGTGTGACGTCAGGCAGGAGTGCTTTTGTTTCAAAAGAAGGTGGGTTTAAAGAAGTTGGTGACTTCGAACGCGCTCCTGTTTGTTTTACAGACAAGGACATCGAGTCAAAGGAAACCTATTGTAAACATGAAAGAGGGTAACAATGCAACCAAAGCGGGAGAATAGTAAAAAGTTCATGGGATTCGGGAAGCGGATTCCCATTTATCCGTTGTACTTGGTGGGACGTCTTTGCCTGTAAAAAGAAGAAGAACACTCTCGGAAACGCCAACTTTATCAAACGCCCGCCTTCTTTTTTGAAGCGAGAACAAACCGCATGCCTCTAAAAGTTCACATCACGAATGACTGTTGCACGATCGTCGGAATTTCAGCGTATTAAAAGCGCCAAAGTAGATCGAATTTTCCGACGTATCTTAGTTTCTTATATCTGTCTGCATACATTTTTGAAGTCGCTTTTGTGATTCTTAGTGTTGCAGAACTTTCGTTTATGTTTTTTTATTTTCGAAATGGCAGGGTTTTGATAGCTCACGTAAGCAGAATCGATGAGGTTCAGTTACTTAGTTTCATGCCTCGTTCCGGCGCTAATGCCGTCCTGTTATATCCTTTCATTTTGTGGTACAAAGGAACTTGAATTTTGAGTCCGTGTGGTATGTGGCTTGAAAAATATGTTATGTCCTGTCATTCAGAACTTCCCCTGCCAACGCTTGGCCTTTTCGGTAGGGAGGGGGGGGGGGCTATTTAGGGGCTCCCCGTGATTTAAGGCCGCGTACAGGAGTCTGATTTATCGCAACAATAAGCTAATTGGCCGCAATTAAATGATCAGTTACGTGTATATTTGTCGTTGAAGCTTACTTGAGCGGTCTTTCCATCGATGATTAAAAATGGTCTTTGTCTAAGTGAATCACGCGAAGAGCACTAATCTACCAAGCAGGCTGTTTTTGAACGTTGTTTGTTTTTCGACTGCTTTTCCATTTCAAATACTGTTTGCAACAGTGGTACGTTAAATCAAATCTTTCCGATGTCTTTTATGTTAGCAAACTGTTATTATTGGGTTCCCTATTTAATTTTAAAGTTTGGGGGGACTAATTGGGGTTTATAGCTGAGTAGCATCTCTCGAGACAATCTGCAAGTTTATGCTTCACGTTTACTCATTCGACATTATTTTTGTTGTCCATGGGATGAAACTATGAAGCCTTAATACTACGGATGCCACCACTGCACTATATACAAGCGCATTAAGCGGAACATGCAGGCATACTATGCAGTCGTTGATGAATATCAGTGCTCGGTCCCATCAACATCATATGCGGTAACAGATGATTCTCCATAAAGGAAAAGGCTTATATTCAGTCCAGAACTTCCTACGGGTAGCTTTTACGTGTGAAGCCAAAGAATGTATATAGAGTCAGCTGATAAAAGGGCAGCACGAACCCAGTGGGAGAAAGTCGCATTCTCGTGGATTTGCAAAAGTTCTGCATGGAAGTGCAACTGCCATCTTCGGTAAAGAAGATGCTTAATATGCTACGGCCTTACCATCCATCTGTACCCAAGGACACGCAGACACTATAGCAAACCCCTCGATCATGCATTAGCGAACCCCTGAGGAACGGGTGCAATGTCCATTTGGGCCTTGGGTGAGGGCTGCTGAACGAGCTGCACAGTCGCCGGAAACCAGAATTCCAAGAATGAGCGTTTAATTGCATATCGTTAGAGTGGAGATTCCAAAGTCATCTAGTCAAAGTCTGTGACCAATGCTTAGTCGTATTAGCCGTCTGGCTGTTAGCCAACCCTTCGTTGTCGACGTTATATTATTGAATGCCAGGTCAGTTATAAACAAGATGGCCCAAATCAAAGCCATTGCTCTCGAAATGACGCCTGATATTATATGTGTTACAGAATCTTGGACCCATTCTCTAGTTCCTGACTCTGCCCTTCTCGTAGATGACTTCGATTTTTACCGCCAAGACCGCACGACTAGGCGTGGGGTTGGTTGTCTTCTTTATCTTAAATCCTACCTAAAGCACTCTCCCTATTACTTGGATGTTTCCTCATTCACGGGAAACTTCTGCTTGGCATCTGTTATTCTCTCGCCGCAAAGAAAGGCGATTATTGGCTGTATCTACAATCCCCCAAATTCTTTAGCCAGTGATGATTCACAACTCTGTGAAATCTTTAAATTAATTTCGGAAGCTGCTTTCGATGTTAAAATAATGATTGGGGATTTTAACCTTCCTGAAATTGACTGGGTTTCCAATAGCTATCCACCCAGATTCCAGCCCTTTCAAGATATTGTCAATTTTTCTAATTGGTCCCAACTGGTGCGCTCTCCAACAAGAGATAATCACATTGTAGATCTAATCTTTACCAATGACATTGCTCCTCTTTCTGTTGCTTTAAAAAAGAACCTCTTTGACAGTGACCACGTTTTAATTCATTGTTGCCTACCGCTTGCCTTTTCAAAAGAGACAAGCGCCGTTCAGACTTTCATGAACTACGACTGCGTAGATAGCAACTTCATAAATAACTATATGAGATCCTTGGATTGGTGTGGCTTCCTCACTTGTAGCGATGTAACCATTCTTCGTGATGTCATGTCCAATGTTTCCAAGGACATTCTAGAGTTTGTGCCGCGTAGATATCTCAAGCCTAATTCTTCA